CTGCGTCAGGCAAGGAGCCAGGGCTCCAGAAGTTTAAGGAGCTGTAGTTCAATCTTCTGCACTTTCTGGACCGTCTGGAGCGCTTGGTAATCAGTGTTTGTTTGCTGGTTTTCTAAACTGCCAGAGACCTCACCTCCACGAGGCCTTCCCATTGCATCTGGGCTGAGCACACACGACTATGCCAAATTACGTTCATTGTCTTTCCGACCCCATTTGTCGCGACTGCTTGAAGCCACCGTTCTGCAACAGTCTTAATGCAATTTTGACACATGATTTGGGAGCTGAAGTGTCATCAACGTACTGGCCAAGGGCTTCTCTTGATACCGACGGTCAATGTGTGTGTACATCATTGTGTGTGGCTCTGTGTCAAGAAGGTGCACCTCCTTCAACAAGTCATGCTTGTCTTCATGTCAGCTGCCGGAGCCATCTGCATTCCGCCAGGGCATGTGCAAATCCATTGATGACTTGAGTGTGGCGAAGGGTCCAACAACGATGCACCACAGATGGTCTGCATCTGGCTCTGCGTCTGGAGTGGTGAGCATTGTTGGTGTGGTCAGTGCCTTGGCTGCCTTGGTTCGCAGCACCGGCGCCTCGTCTCGGCATCCACTAAGCTGCTCCTCAGACTTCATTGTGTGTTTCAAGTCTGGCGTAGGCTTTCCACAATGCCCACGAACCTGAAGCAACCAACAGCCCTGCCACGTTTAAGTCTGTGCCGACAGGCTGCGCTTAGTCTGGCCACTGGCTCATGCAAGGCTGCTGCGAGGTCACCACTGTTCTTAGGTGCTGTATGGTGAAGGTAGCCGTCCCTATGCAGGAAGAACCTCATCATTCTGGATTCTTGTGACGCTATCGCTTTGATGGAGGATGCATCCCTTTGATGTATCAGAATGTATCAATAGAACCAGGATACTGCACCATAGCAATGGCACCAAGTGCAGCTCTGTAGGGGCTAATTGGCAGTCGGGCCACCTCCACTTTTGGACACGCGGTCCAACAACGAGGGGAGCCAAGAGGTCTGGAAACCTACAAGTGCAATCCTGTAGGGAGTCCAGCAACGTTTGGTTGCGGAAAGTAGCATGTGCGGCAGGCCGATGTTATGGGCTTGCTTGTGGTCGGGGTTCTGCTTGGTACCATGAGTGCGGTCGACCGTTGCCTCTGTAGTTAGCATTTTCCAGAACAAAGTGGCTTTTTGGAAATTTTGCAATGCAGAGTTTAGAGTGCCCAAGACGGCAAGTATGTGCTCCTGTGCTTGTATGCATTCCTTGCAGAGCGCTGGCAGGGTGTTTGTCAGCGCGCCTGCGCAGCAACCTGCGCCGGTTCTTTTGATGGATTTTCCTTTTGTGGATATCCGCTGTCCTTGGGCCTCTACACCCACGCCGCATCTTCGAGTAATGTAGGCAAGAAGCATGAGCCACCCAGGCATCTGCTGTTACGGAGGATGCCTACAGCAGTTAAGGTCCTGGCTTTGACACACATGCTGTCTTAGCTGTAGAAATCAGACGGCAGTTCCAGGGTGCGCAGCCTGGAAATCCATCCGTGCGCTTGACAGCACTTGCATTCTCTTTACGTAGATGCAGGACCTATCGAAGCGTGCGTCACAGATTGCGTTTCAGGTTACTTCGAGGTCTTTCATTGTCTCCTTTTACACCACCTCTTCCAACCTCGCGGGTGTCGGCACGGCATAAAGTCCTGCATATCAAGAATTTGTCTTCTTGGTGAGAGGGTGCACGCATGTGCGCACAGAATGCCGACTGGGCTGTGCAAGGCACAGGCTGGTGGTCTGCCACCTCAGCTGCTTCGACCTGGCTCTCGTGAGTACTCGCTCAGCAGGTCGTTGCTGACGCGTGTGGCTGCTGTCACCTGTTTTTACAGAGATACTTCATATCCTGACCGTCGGCATGTAACCCCAAAATGCTCCACATCCTCTGTGTAGTGCTGACAGGTTGGAAACCGTGCGTGTGCAGGGTTGCACACGGACGAGCTAAGAGTAATCGTCAATCTGGTGGGGTTTCTCTGACGAGCAAGCGCAGATGCATTTGTGGAGTCCCTACCATGCTTGCTTGACTTTGGCAACAAGGCCTCGATCCATCAAGCAGGCACTGCTCATGCCCCGCAAGAGGCCGTGGTCCGGATATCCAAGACAAGTTTGAGAAGGCCTGCATGCCTAGCGTGCCACGCTTCTGCGCATTCCTTCTAGTCCTGGCCATGTTGGGCGGTTTGGCCACGGGACGGATGTAGCAACTTCTTTCCAGCTAGATGCAACAAAAACATAGCAGATGCTCCTGTCACTGCCTCTTGTTGCTGCCGGGGCCTGGCGTGTATGCAGCCACAAGATGTCTCAATGCCAGCTTGTGTGCTGTGCAGGATCACAGGGCGAGCCACATGCAACATAGCTTGCAGATTCGGGTGGTTGTTCTGCAGCAGCTGCTGGGAGCCAATGAGCAATTCTCGAGGAATGCAGAAACTGCTTTGAGAGAAGGGCCACAAGCTCGTTGAAAAAACAGACAAGTACATGCACCGTGTCTCATTGCATCCAGATGTTTGAGCAGCAGGTAAGGCCGGCCCCACAAGCACCTGCACAACTTTTTCACAGTCCTGTATCCTCAAGCCGAAGCGTGCCGTCACCACTGAGGTTTGCAAAGGCCTGTCGTGCGAGTTTATGGACACCAGAGGGTCAGACCATGCCTTTTCATGGAAAGCATCCTTGTCAGGTTTTGCGACGTTTTCGAGCAAAAGCAAACAATCCTGGGTCAGCCATAAGGTGTTCAAGACGAAGCTGCAACTTGCAAATGTAGCGCCTGCAACAAGAACTTTTCCTGTGAGCTGGTCAAGGAGACAGCTGCCCATTGCTTGGTCAATCCCATCCACTTCCAAAGGGCTCTAACTTGGTCAGGGCATGTGGGATTGACAGGGGAAGGAGGCAAGGCCTTGCAATTCTTGTCCATGATGCTTCTTTGCATGGCGCTGAAGCATTGGCGAGATCAGTCAGGTTGCGCATGGAAGCTGAACACTTTGGTGCTCAGGGCGAGGTGCTCGATGTTGCAGCAGCATGGTGCTGGACTGCTTAAACCGAATTGCATGGTCCCTGCGCACTTCTCGGTGCTGCCGGCAGGGCTCGGAAGCTGGTGTGTAGCCAAAGTTTACTGGAGCTTCAGGTCAGGCGGCATTGCGGCAAAGTCAAGGCAGTTGGCTCACAGAGTGCCCATGCCTGCACCTGTCTCTCCTCTGCAATGTCTCCGAGGCAGAGCCTGGAATCGTTGCTTTGTATTAACATTACGACAGCCTGCTACCTCCGCGTCCGCTGCAGCATCAGAAATAATATGGCAGTTGCCTCATGCTGTAGATGGCCTGATGACAAGGCGATCAGGCATGGTTGCTGGGCAACATGACCTTCAAGCATTTAAGATTTCTGAAGCGTCCGACATCGCATCCTTGCGGCATGGCAAGACACTAGCAGCTCTTACAGTATGTTGAGTGGTAGCTGCTTTCTCGCGGCTGCAGATGGGCCATGTGTGAGGGCTTCCCCTTTTGAATCTTTCGCTGCTTCAGGACTTAGGTTGTGCTTAGCCCTGCGTGTCCCAGCCTTCCAACTGTCCCCGTACCGCTTTGGGCTTTTGTGCTGGCCATAGATGAAGACAGACGACGGGACGACAGTTTTCAATGATACCTCTTGCAGGCTGCTGAGCCGCTTGGTTGCTGAGCATGGTGGCCAGTATTGCCGTAGGCTAGCCTGCCCAGATCTATGCACGGATGGCAGGCTGTGCACGCAGCATCCGAAAGCTGAGATGCACAGACCCGCATCCGCATTGGGCACGTGCAGGATTGGCGCGAATTGCATGTGATGATGGTAAAGCAATCCGCAGAGGCGAGGGCTCACGGGCGGTGTTAAGAGCAAGGCTGTCAGCATGCTGAGACACACACGGTCTCCGCTGCGAGGCTTGCAGTAATTTCGGAAGTCTTCATCACTGCAAAACAAGCTGGAATTTCCACTTTCATGGGCATCACCTGTGCAAGCGTGTCAGCGGGCTGTGCAGGGTGTGCTTTTCCGCTGCAACAGCACTGTGCGGGTCGATAGAAGCCTGTCAGAGCGACACTCCTGCTATAAACGCATTTGAAGTTTCAAGACGGAGGCAACAGTGTGCATCGGTGATGCCAGACTTTGGCCTGCGGGGGCTGGTGGTGAGTTCCTTTGCCAGGGGCCAGGTGACCCGCACCGCAGTCTTCGGCATCGAACGCAAAATCTCAAGCTGAAGACGTCTGGGTAATTCGACTGAGCAGGCAGCCTGCCAGGAAAAAGCAGCTCTTGTGGAAGTGATGAGCCTTTGCTGAGGAAGATTTGGTCTCTTCGCAGCTTGTCACATTGGCATTTTGGCTCGAGCTTGGGCAGCTGCCCGAACAGACATCCTCGGTTCGTGCCTTGACTTCAGTTGGCTTGACTTTGGATCTTCTTGCCATGGCTTAAGTTCTGCTTTGTGAATAAACTTGTAGTGTGCTTTGACTTCAGGCTCCGATGTTCCTCGCCATGTCGGTCACGGCCCTAGCATGCAAGCTGAACGTATTTATTGCAGGGTGATCATGGAGCTGTCAACAGCTTGGCAACCTGATTCTGCAAGGCCATGTCTGAGTCCACCGAGACGTGCCTCCTTATCGTTGCGTACATGAAGGTGGCAAGATCATTCTGACATGTGCACTCCTTTTTTGACCGGCATGTGGTGCCAGGCTGAGAAGACTCTGGGCAGAAGAAGCAGAAGAAGAGACAGAGCTAGAAGAGGAGGCGGGATCTACAGATTCGTGTTTGGCGGGTTGGCGTTCATGCCAGTTGACCGAACGTCATGATGTTCAGTGTTGTATTTGCTCTGAAGGAAGATGAGTTTGCAGAAAGTCAACGCAGTCATGACCTATGGTCTGAAAGCTGACGACAGCTCAGCTCCGTGTTTAGAAGGTCTTTAGCTGGTGCACCAGACTGTGATAACCAACGGCCTTCAAATGTTGTTGCCAAGGACGGGAATGCTCGCAGGTCACGGCTCCGGGCTCTCCATCGGCTGCAGCGGGCAGTCGCAGGCTTCCCCCGTGAAGGCCGGCGCGAGGCCCTGGAGACGATGAGTCCAGAAACCAGGGCAGCACTGCTGGCCTTCATGGAGTCCCGTGCAATGGCACCGCCGCAGGTGCGGAGGCAAGGGAAACATGGGACACCCAAGAAGTCTCAAAGGTCCACAAAGAGTATGCCCACGCGTGGCTTTCGGGAAGCTGCGGGCGTGGGCCGCAAGGGTGGGGGCTGGACCGCAAAGCTTTGTGTGACCCCGCACCTGTACGTGTGTTCGCGCTGCTTTGCAACCCCTCTGCTCGCAGGGAGGATGCTGAAGGTCTTGCAGCGTGCCAGGGACCTGGCCAGCGGCACAGAAGGCCTCGTTAAAAAGGCTCTGGCAGATGCTTGCCACGAGCAGAGCACAGAGCTTGAGGAGCTGGCACCCTCCTTCTTTGCTTACGTGGATGCCACGAAGCTCATAGGATCTGCGGTCTGCTCACGGTCTAGCACCTGCCTGGATGAAGCCATCCATCATCGCAATCTGCTTTTGGCTGGCCGCGCTGGTGGCTGGAGCCATTTCCGTGAGGCTTGGCTACATGTCTTGCAATCACCAGTGCAGCAGCGGACATCACGTGCCTGGGGGCGTGCCCGCAGTAAACCCCTAGAGAGGGGTCATGCAGAGGAGATTGTGGATATGGCTCGCAGGAGCTTTGAGCTGCAGAGGCAGCAACAAGTGGCTATTGTGCGCCGGAAGCGCTTGTCGGAGGCTGTGCGTGCTGTGGAAGCCATCCTGAAGTGTGAGGGCCGCAAGCGAGCCCACAGGAGAGGTTCCAGCTCTGCCAGTTTCAGAAGCTTCAAGCGAATCCAGGTCAGTCAGGCCTGAGCTGGCATCCGCTGGATGCGACCGGAGGTTGAGTGAGAGGCCTGCTGGTACAGTCCGTTAGAGTGGAGCGAGTTTAGCAGCTGCCTCGTTTTTGCACTCGTCTCCGAAAGGCAGGAGTTCACATGTTGTGGACATAGCAGGAAGGAGACAAACAAATTGTCCGGTACGTATGGTACGTAGGCACCAGGTACTGCCTTAGGAGCTGATGATTAGTTGCTCTGCTTGTTTCCAGCCCGCTTTGGGTCCGTAGAGAAGCTTTGCTTGAATGGTAGCGGCACCTAGCAGCTGCTCATGGTCAGGCAACAAGCCATCAAATAGGAAGTAGCTAGGTAGTTACGGAGATCAACAGATTAACGCTGCAACTATTGGTGGAGACAGCTATGTGATTTACCAAACATGGCCGATGCTGCCACAACACCAGCTCCCGCTGCTGCTGCGGGTCCTGCTGCAACCCCGGCGGCCGCAACATCTACAGCTGCTGCGCCTGTAACTGCAGGTTCGGTCCTTGTGTCTTGTAAGTTATGTGAAAGTTAAGCGGGGCTCAGCACTTGTCGATCCTGCCAGGTCAGCCAGCGGCAGTCGCGCAAACCCAAGTAGCCCCAGGCTCGAGCGGGCAACTTTGCAAGATGACATATTGAGTCCACGCAAGCCTTCAGCTTGCCTCAGGCCAAGGCTACGCGGCCCAGCCTGGCATGAACCAGATGTATGGCCAGCAAAACTACATGGCTCCTGGCGGTTACATGGGCCAAGGTCAGTTCGGGCAGCCGGGGTATCCTGGGCAGATGGGGATGCCTGGCCAACCGGGCTATCCTGGCCAACCCGGCATGCCTGGCCAGCCAGGGATGCAACCTCAAGATATGCAGCCTCAATTCAATTTCCGCACGTCTGTGCGCTGCTTTATGGAGATCGCTGCCATCATCCAGGGCTTCTCACTGATCCTGATGACGCAGGGTTGCAAATTTCTGTAGGCTTCAGTTGATGCATTTATGGTCTATTTGTTTCCAGTTAGGCAGATTAGAATCTGTCAACACAAGAATCGGAGTGCTCATAGGGGGAAAAGAGCTGCAGAGCTGCTCAGGATGGGCAATGGCTGGGTCCAGGAGATGGGCTCCAATGAAGAGCAACCCTTGAGGCCCCTTAGCTGCCATGCGTGGATCTCAAGGTTTTAGGGATCGGGCATTTCTTCCGCGTTGAGGTTGCTTGCTTCAGCATTTGCTAGTGAAGGTTTTTTGTGCATGCTTCGAAGCCCCTTCTGCGACATGCTGCCCCGCCGACAGTGAAGGCGCTTCGCCGTATGGATCGGCAGCTCCCTCCGTGGGATCTTCTCTTCACTGCTGCCCTTCCTATCACGCCGATCGGGATTCAACTGGGGGCTACATATACGGGGTTTCCTTTAGAAGGGGACATGGGGGCCACGTAGGGTTCTGTAGGTGGGGTTATGTGTGTGTATATATATATACACACACACACGAAAAATATGTTTTTTTTTTGTTCGTGGTACCCGCCCTGACAGGCCTGCCTATTGTGTGATCTTATCTCTGATCATGTACCCACATGACCCCAAACAGTGATCCAGAACTACATAATCAGGTATAAGTTGATGAGTTCTCATGCGTAATTGCAGTATTTGCGTTCAAGCGCTTTAAAAACCAACAAACCTGCTGTACTGTCCCAAGAAGCCCAGCTGGAATTGCAAGAATGCTGTGTTGTCTCAAAAAATGTAAAGAAAAAACATCAACATTTGTTCGAACTTCTTGGGATCCGGACCCTAAAGATTGCGAAGTACAGCATCCATGCTAGTTTTCTGAGACAGTACAGCACTCTTGCCGGTCTTCTTGCAATAATGCTGTACTGTCCTAACCGCAGTCGCGACCGAGTGCCAGAGGCTTGAACAGTTTTGCTTTGTTGCAATTCTTGGGAGAATACAGCACTTTTGCTGTCTGGGATTAGGTATTTTGGGACAGGACAGCGCTTTTGCTGGTTTCCTGGATAAAATGTGCGCTTTTCGGCTTTTCGAGGGCACTTATGCAGAGTTCGGGTTCTGGGTTATGGTTTAGAATTTCCAGAGAATGGGCTTGCCTTATAAGACGAATTATCCGGCGCTGGGAGATATTTAGGAGCCCCTATCGAAGTATTCGCAGTGAAAGACCGTGGCATCCAGGCAAGAATCGCTCTTTAGATGACATTTGGGAGATGGAGACAACACCGAAGCGGCCCACCCGATGGTGGGTGGTTCTGGGCTGGATCTACTTTGCCGCATCTTTCTTGCAGGCGCGCAAGACTTGTTCCTTGCGTGTAGTTGAGGTTTCGGGCCAGGTTTTCTTTCGGTAAACGCAAGGTGAGATAGCAAAAAGGTGCAAGGAAAAGTTGCATGAACGGACGGCATGCACCTCAAATGGCAGCCAATGGGAAACAAACCTACCACATCGTTTCCTGTTTTCAATGTGCACCGTGAAGAAAGGATCTGTGCGAGAAATTCTTTTCACAAGATATACACGACATCGTTCCTTATCAATCTCATCTGTCAATAGGCATTGAAGGGTGTTACTAAACCTGTTAATGGTTTGTATTTCTTGAGAGAGGTTTCCGCCAGACCGAACCCCTGAAGAGGCTGATTGCCTCAGATGTTTGTGAGGAGTGGAACACGTACCAGCGCGTACGAAACCGGTCTGTGAGAGCTGAGCTGACAACTGTACCAAGGACCCCAGACTGCAATACTGTCTTGTTGGCATGTACGGACTGTGAGGGGTTTGTCCGCAGTTATCAAGCTCAGGCCTCTAAAGGCTGCAGAGGGCGATGCCGCGGGCGGGCGAGGATCGGCCAGTGGCAGCAACCTCCTCGACTTCTATTTGCAGAAGCAGCAGGAGACATGAACCACCTTACCGTTGGTGCCAGTTCGGCAAGTCCCAAACTGGACGCATACCGACCCCTGCGTCAGGAGATGCACCGTCAGAAACAAGGCTTGCACACTGGGAGGGGTCTTCGGCTGTATGTGCTTCTGTTTGGATTGTTTCCAAACTGCAAAGACTTGGATTGACACCTACTGACTTAGCATCGCGGACCTGTTCCGTACTGAGGGAGTGGTAGTCTTTCTAGAGTTTGGAATCTGGGCGACATCAGTGTTGCAGATGGTTACCGTTCATTTCGCAATTGCTGTTGCCTGTGCGCAAAGGGTGCAAAGCCTGTGGATCGATGGTTGTGTTTAGCCACAGGGACAGGAGCTGCAGTCAGACTTAGTCGTGGAGGCAGTGTGAAGCCCTCTCGCGAAAGTAATTTCACACACAAGCCTGAACCTCATTCGCAGGATCCGCCTCGCCTGCCAGCGAAGCAGTTCTTGGTGGCTCCGAGTTTCAAAAGGGGCGTTCACGTATTTCAGTTTCAGCCTGATGATGGGAGCTTTCCAGATGCTGATTTCAGTCTGTTGTCATACGGCTCCCGGGAGTGGAAAGTGCACAGCAGGGTTTCGGTCTCCACCTCTGTGTGTGTGTGTGCGCGCTGTCAAGAGCCGCCCTTGCTTCTTACGGCTTCAGCTTCTATTTAGAAGGGAACCACTTGTTGAAGCTTTTTGCGGCCCATTCAAGGCTCTAGCTCTAACAGACATGACGCATTAGCAACACAATGAAGCAGCAACATAATTGTGATACGTCGTGATGCATAGCAGTTGCTGGGTCTGCTTCAATGGCTCTTGGTGGCTTGCAGGAGGTTGGCGTAGCGGAAGATTGCTTGTCGGCAGGGCGGCGTCTGGGATAGAAGGAGTTTCTAGGCGTAGGTGACTGATGGTGGCTAGTTCTGAGCCTCATGTTGTTTTGTCGATTTGCTCCTCACGGCCCGCAACATAGTGCTTGAATCTAAGACATTGAGGGAAAGACAAGACATTCTCGAATACTGCCCGAAGGCCGTCTTATCAAGACTGATGCGGTGCCTTTGTTTCTTTTGTGTGTTTACTATTTCGGCTCCAGTCGTTTGCAAAGGTTCTGTTCCGTGCTTTCAATGCTTGCTTTACAAGCTGCTGGAAGCCTCTGAGCCCTGAAGCAGGATGGTGGTGGCTATAGCAAATCCCCGGAGGCACACGTGAAGGGAGATATGATGATCTTTCCGTAGTGTTCCGTCTAGTTGTTTGGACCGCAACGCTTGCTTTCAACCAGTTCTGTGCCTTTGCGCTTGCCAGGCAGTTCTGGTCAAGAAGCCGGACACGTCGAACCTGCAAGCTTCTCTCAACCCCTGGGCCATCACTTGCTTTCTGCTGCCTTCTGCCTTTGATCCGGGTGCGTGCATGAGACCTGTGTCACCCATGAACTCCTTTGATGGCAGGCACAAGCGTGTACACCCGGCAAGCTTACTGCCTTTTGCCTGCCTCCCTGACTCTGACTCACTCCGACTCGTGCACAGGGGTTTGCTTGAACTCCACAGTCAAGGTTGTCAGAAACGCACGTCTGTGCCTTCGTGATCAAAGGCTCTGACTTCTTAATGTAGCGCCCTAAGCGCTCTGCCCCAGAGGGGGCGTGGTGCCATGGGCCTCTGGTTGCTGGCCCTTGTGGTACAAGGCCTTTGGGCAGCCAAGGCCATCCACTTGTTAGTCAGAGCGTTCAGCCGACGTCCTGACCACCTGTACGAGGTGACCACAGACCGGGCTGGGTCACATCACCAGGACGAGCACTACAACATGCCATGCAGTTTCGCTTGGGAGGGTCTACACTTGAGCTTCTGATAGAAATGATTATAGAGGTTTCAACCTTGAGCCTTGAGCCTTGTAAACCCAAGCAGAGACAGTGTGAGCAATCTTGTGAGGAGCATGATGAGCCACCGCGGCTTCTGAATTTGCTACTTGGCATTGTTTGCGAATGTGAGCAGCTCATACTGGCCCCTTGTGACGGTACAGAATCTCAAGACCACTCTTCAGTGTTGTTTACGCCTGCACTCAGGCGGAACCCGGATTTTCAGCCACATTCTTCCAGCTTCCTCAGAAGTGCCCCAAGGTCCGAGGCTGTCGGTATCTGTGGCTACTCCATGGCCTGAACCCTGAAACCCTAGCCAAATCCCTGTGATGCTTTGTCCTTATTTGTCGCTTTGCTCCTCTCAGCGCTTTGCGAAGGCAGGACAAGCTGCGAGGATATCTGGATCTTCCAAACGCATCAACTGGAAATGCTTCCGACCCGGCCTTTGTTCCCATGGACACTCAGATGCACTTAGCCTTGGATGCCGAAGGCCCAGGCAGGAAACGCAGACTTAGCTCAGCATTTCTTCTCGCATGTTGGCCTTGGCTGCCGTGATGGTGTCTTGTCAGCAGAGTTCTGGGGATGACTGCCCGCCCAGCTTTGGATTCCAAGAAGAAAACTTAAGGCCTCAAGGGTTAAGAGCTCAGAAAGTTGTCGACTGGGTGCGTGTCCTGGAGCCTCAGCGACTTTGCACCACTGCGTGTTAAACGGCTGGCAGCATGACCTTCATAAAGTGCGTCGCTGGCCTTGCCGAAAGCTGGCAAATAGGAAACAGGCTGGTATTTTCAACCGGCACGTGGATGCATCGGGTGGGTTTTGTGAGGCTTGGGAAGGAAGCTGCTGCTTGATCCCAGGACGAGCAGCTGACTCCACATGGAGCCGAGCGGGCCAAGTCACTTGACTGACATCTCGCCGGTAATATGCCCGGATACTCATGGTTCATGGTTTATCAGGGTTTACATGATACCAGGGCAGTTACCCCCTGTTTCCTTGGCGTTTGTGGAAGTGGAGATGTGACAGGAACTCAAAACCTGATGGAAGACCGAGGCCGGAAGATATCTTCGAAGAGCCCAGAAAGGTAAGGTAGGGAAAGGGTCTTCACCATGTGCTGCTGGCAGAACCCCCTGGCCAAGCTTTGCAATGTCCTGTTGGACCCTGTCGGCCAGGTCATGGGAGTCGCCCTGAATGGTGAAAGCGACATGCGAACGCTCAACACTTCCCTGATCCTGGGTGTTGCCGGCGCAGTAGGCGGGGCCAAGTACCTGATGCTCAGCCCATCGCTTCTTGACATGCCATGCGCCAAACGATGCATGCAACCTCCTCCAAGCAGGTTTCATACTATAGCAGGCCAGACAGCTTGGCAGGAGTGATCATCACCTTTGTTGTGCTACAAGTTCTTCTCCCGCAAGTCTATCAGCGACCCAAGAGCTGCGAACTTAGAATTGAAATGAGACCACTTGCAGCCATGCTTGCCTTGATTGCTGCCTGCACGATGTTCAGCTCAGGCAAACCCAGCAAGGAAGATTCCACGGAAGATTATCACCTGCAGGCCAGCAGAATTCCTCGGCACATGGTTTCCTGTCAATCCTGATGCCCCATCAGGTGTCTTCTGGGATGCGCTGGCTCGACTGCCTTTGGAAAGTATGGAGCACAACGCGACTCATGCTGCAATGATCTTTGGCCTTGCAAGTTTTTAATTTGGACTGGCGAAGTCCGAATGCAGTCTAATGTCCTGGGCAAGCGACGAATATAGTGTCAAAGCCAGAGACTGTTGAACTAATCGTTGACAGCCTGGCTTGCCATGTAGCATCCTCAAGACATGCCAGCCCCACACAGCTCAGCCAGCAGCATTCAGCATGCCCTCCAACAAATATGAATGCTACCAGCGGATCTTTTCTTCAAAAGCTTCATAACTCATTTTCTGAGTCCTTGAGGCCGGATGACGAGGTCCGTTTGGCGGGGCTCGATGGCTGGTCTCTGCTGGAGTCTGGGCTGCCCAGATTATGTGTGGAGTGGCTTCACAAATCTTCCGGCGGTTTTCCGGATGCATCCCAGGAGTTTGTGCGGCTCAACCTGCGCATCATGTCCATCCTGGGGCCGTTCATGCTTGCGGTGCTTCTTCCACTGCACTTTGTTGCCAGCCGCGAGTCCCACAATACGCTGGATTTCCTAAGCCGCCTTGACATCGGCAACCTGCCCAGGAGCCGCTTCGGATCTTGAGACAAATCCCGGCCCATGCATGTATACGTTTCGTATCGTGAAGATTTTGACAGGAACAGCTGGATGCTCTGGTTCCATGCAGCGGTTGTATGGTTCGTCGTGACGATCAGTGCTTGGCAGTGACATGGCAGCTCAGAAAGTATCTGCTTTCTCATGGGCGCCTTGATTTGTTGTCTTTGCAGTGGCCGCTCTAGATTCAAGAATGCAGATCAATACCTCAGCAAGAAGTCTTAAGAGGCCTGCAACGAGCACCCACCTCAATCTCTTCCCGTGAGGAACTTGCATGCCAAACGTTTTGGCAACTCAAACGGCTCGTCAAGAGTCACACCTTTTTTTGCATGTTATCACTTTCAGGATCAAGCTGGCACATGACGGATTCACCGAGCGACGGTATCAATGGCTGGCAACCTTGCCGAGGCGTGCACAGACCAATAGCTTCGAAACCGCAGGTTTTCCTTAGCAGATCCTCACAGCACCCAGAGCTGTCGGAACTCGCGTGCTACGTAGGTCTAGCAATCTGAGAATTTGCCCTTCTCACGTGCAGCAAGCAGGGTGCCGAGTATCTAGATCATGACTGGTTGCTCTGCAGGGCTTCCATCTGTGTTGCCTTGCTACCAGACCGAACCATTTACCCCCATTTGATGATGTTTCAGTTCCAGTTGCGCTGCGGGAGTTGCTCAGTGATATAGATCAGGCAGTCCATCTATAAGATATTGCTGGCAGGCCTAGATCGACGACAGTCATGGTCCGGAACATCCCGCCCATGTACCGCTCTGATAGCGCGCTGAAGGAGTACTTCGACACAGCCACTTGCCTCAAGATCTCAACCCAGCAAGTCTATCAGCTCTTCCGAGCCTTTGGGTCTTCAGTAGGCGTGGGTAGAATCTACTCAGCATTGGTTGAGTTTCGGAACTAGAAATCCTCCTGCTTGTCGAGCCAACCCTGGTTGAAAAAAAAACACAGTGTTTTCAGAGCTGCACTGTTATGCAAGAAGAAGGGACAGAAGCATCTCAAGCTCTTGACCATGACCGTGTGCTTTTGTCGCCGGAGAGGTCTTCAGCGAAGAGTCCATGCACACGGTGGAGCGCGCCTATGTTATCCGCCGGACAGGCTGGTGGGAGGATGTGCGGTGAAAGCTGGGTACATGGATGGTCATCGAGCCAGCAGTAGCAAGCAGAGAGCACAACACTGGGCAAAAGTCAATTCGCAAATACTGCCGTTCTCTGAAACGAAGAACAAACATGCCTTCTTGCAATATTTGTGCCATCGAGGTTGTGGAGGTTCCACCTTTTAGTACGACCTTGTGCATTGGCCAGGCAGGCTGCCGAAGATGGCTCGGCGCTCAATTATGTTTCGAAGTATTGACTGTCGCGAAGTAGGTAATGCCATTTGCAACACAAAAAAAATATGCATGGCTTGTGGTATCTTGTCAGAGTTGGGTCTTTAGGGTTGGCCCCACCAGAGGCTCGTGGACAATCTTTAGCGTTCTCCGGAAGTGCTAAACATTGATGCTTTGAAGCTGCTCAGGTAGAGCAGCTGAAGGCTGCTAGGTACGAGGCTGCAGTGCTCTCCAATCGCATGAACAAGGCACACGGGAATCCGGCATGGCATGTTCATGGCAGCGTTTCAGTCAGTCACAAATGTTAGAGCTAGGACCACAGGTTGAGTTTACATGCCATGAAGTCGGCCGGTTGCCATGCTTTTGCTGCAAAAGAATTCGGTCAGAGTTACATGGCTTTGTACCAGGCGAGGCAAGAGGGCAAGACCGATGATGGGGGCATAGAGATGGAGCTGGAGAAGCACAGGTGGCCTGGATCTGCGTTTGTTCAAGAGGTGGAAGTGAGCCTTTTATCATGTCGGCGTCAGCTCTGGTTTCAATGGTGTTGATGCATCGTTCATACTCTACAGCTCAAGCCTTGGCAGCAACGCTAAGCTGCATGTATGAACTTAAAGTAGAGTGCACAGAGCATCTCGAAAGGATGTTGGACGTCAATGAAGGCTTTGCAGGTGAAGGTTGCCTGTCATCTCTTCATTACAAGGGCTGGAGACTTCACGACATACGTATATGAAGTGCACTGGACCAGGCTTAGTCAATGGTACTTCATGCGATCAGCAGAGAGGTAGGAGGTCCTCATGGTTTTCTTTGGAAGCATACTTGCAAATGAAATTCCAGCTCGGATAAGTCCAAAAGTCTCAGAAAGTCTCTTGTCCAAGGGTGGTTAGACTGAAGCCTTGGGAAGGGGAGAATACATTTTTGACGCACGCTTCATGTCTATGTCGCCAGGCTGGCCATTGGAAACCTCAGGAGCTTTGGTTGCTTGCAAGCTTGTGATCCGGTGTTAATCGTAAGTCGCTGCACGGGGTAAATAAGTGCAGGGTCTGCAAGGGTGTTCTGTGCTTCTGCCGTGTATTTGTGCTGATGATGGTTTGGGCTCACACTCAAGCCAGGCGTGCTTTGCTTTCACTTCAGCCCTCAAACTTTCTTTGTTGGTCTCTGCCCAAAAATCAGTGGAGGAAATCTTAGACGCAGGCATCCTTCCAGTGTAGAAACTGATCGCGGATCCGAAATAGTTAAGGAACACGTTCGAGATGTACCGCCCTTGCAAACAGACGTTCACTTGCCACATAGCTCGGCCTCGTAACCCTACAAGCTGGCATGACAACCAGGAGTCGTGTTGCTCGGGAACAAGCTGCGATCGAAGCAGCAGCACAGGGCCCACGTCCAGACCAGAAGGCAGGATTCATTCGATGGGTGGTCCAGGCCCAACAAAAAAATGTACAACGACTTCTCGAGCTGGGGCTGTACAGCATCTCTTGCTGATCAGTTCAATGATTGCTGGTAGTTTGCCAAATTCATCGGCTCATGAGCCAGGTGGGATCATCGTCGGGCTTTGTGACATTCACGACCATCTTGTCACAGCGTTTAGCATCGCGGGAGCACCTCGGAACTTAAATGCCAGTGGTCCTTGAGTTTGAGCATGTTCGAGGCTCCAAGCGTGGTGGTCTTTACTGAGGCAGTGCACTCGCGATGTGCAGGCTTTCAGGATGACTCTCGGCAGTATGTGTGTCCGTAGCAGGCTTTCGTTGTGCATTTGAAAGCGATTCTCAGGTTCATGGCACCAGACTCCAATGATGTCCTGTACGAGAACCTTGCAGAAGATGACATCAATGCGTCTTCCTGGAAATGGCTCGGATCCTTGTCAAGGTTGTTATTCACCCGCGCTGAGTCACCAACTCCAGCAGTATCTTCCGTTGAGCTGAGACAGGTTCTGAAGCAAGTGAACAAGAATGGCCAGACGGCTAGGAATCGATTGTTCTTCGTGTATGCTGCCTTGCTGTTACAATCTGAGGCCGCCTTGCCCTTGTTGCAGTATTCTTGTTTTGGATTCCTATCGTGGTGGCGATCTCTGGCTGGACCACTTTGAGCTCTATCCAGGTTGCTTGGCTGATGGTTCTGCAGTGTCGGCTCAGCGGCTCTGCGGGGTGAAAGGGTCTTGAAATGTGGGACCAGGAAGTTGGAAGGACAATGATTTCGGCAACCCTGATGCAGGGAACAGTGCCCATTGTCAAGAAGTTTGTGGATGCGCATCCTGCCATCGGCAATCTTCTCTCTGGAGTACTTGCCACAGCCACGTTGAAGATGTTCATGGCTTTCCTGCCAAACGTCCAGCGGCTGCACTTCAGCAGACTTTTGGTGGATTTTGGTCTTGGAGTCGTTGGCACGAATTTTGCGAGGTGCTGCACGCAATCATCACCACTACCTCCCACCTCAAGGCCGGCAGCGTTGAGCAGCTGAAGCTGCAGCAGTGGTCTGCCGCCTTCCTGCTGCGCCTTGGCTGCAAAAGCTACGTACCTGGGCTTGCGCTTGTGTACAGGCAGATGTCGAGAGGGTCTCTCCGACGCTTTAATGCACATCCCTGGCAACCAAGGCTTTTCGTGGTGCTGGTGACCTCACTAGGACGAGGCCTTACCATCACCTTCATCATCATCATGCAGGAATCCGCTGGTTTGCTGAAAGGAATTGCGAGAGTGAGCAGTGTTCTTTCTGAGTTCACGTTCGTGAGGGGCAGTCAAGAAAAAAACATCAGGTTCAGAGCAGGGCTGCAGCGTTGGCAAAATCAGAGCCCCAGAAAGACCCAGCAACCAAACTCTATGGGAAGAAGCCCAATTCACCGATGGGAGAGATACCGATGTGCCACTGCGCAGGAGCCAGCAAAGATCATCAGCCTGCCTCAACCTCAGCTGCAGCTGACTTCTTCAAGAAGTTCACGTTGGAACTGTTAGAAATCCAGAACAGTTTTCAACGTGTTGTTGAACATCAAAGCCAAGATTTTTTTTAATTCACAGGCTCGCTGCATCGCTGCCTTCGGCGTCCCATTTCTACTTCAACTACGTGATTCTAGGCTGGCTCGTGCTGCCTCTTGCCTCTTGGCGAAATCAGTCGCAGGGGAGTTCACAAGGTGCAGCCGATGTTTGGCTGTAGAATTCTGTCAGCTGCTTCGGAGATTTGTGCAGCCTCACAGATTGACTCGGGGTAATAGGTTACACAGGCAGCCCATCCGAAATCCTGGCAAAAGCTCACATGCTGCACCTTTTGAGGACCTCCTTCGCATGGGCAATCTGGTGCTGGCCTAAGCTCAGTCCGGAACTTGCATCAAAGATCCGGCACATAACCCTGAGGCCAAGTGGTTCTTCTACCGCAAGGTCTGTGCCTTTGAGGACCGCACAGGTGCTCCTCTCCTCTTACATGGCAGAAAAGCCGTGGCAGGAAGAGGAAGCCAAGCAGTACTCCGAACCAGAAGACATAGCATACTACGGCCTGGGTTCCAGAATGGTTTGGCCCTCAAGGCATGAGTTTGCCGGACACCAAGCAAGACCCCCAAGTTGCCTCGAGGCTCGATCAGTCCTGATGGCTTCGATTTTCTTTCTGTTTGCCTCGTGCTCCCCTTTGATCTTCGCAGGGATCTTAGCATGCAGCCGTGGTTCTGGAGGTGTTGAGAGGCTAAGGCTAAGTCCCCCGAGTGAGTGCTGTGCCAGGTCTTCACCTGGGTCTATTTCTTCCTGGCACAGTTTGTGTACGGCTACCTTCTGTTGTTCTGTGAGAGCAAGAAGCCTGATACGGGTGGAATTTTCTGGGTCCAGGCTGGCTGAAAAGATAGCAGAATCTTAGTCTGCAGTCATGGCTCACGTGCGTTCTGCTAGAGACACGGATTTCCCATGGCTTCACCTTCTGTGGCACAGGCCATGGACCAGATGTTTATTGTGCTGGCAATCTACGAGTCTCGTCTGGTTTAGCCGCTTAGGTTTGAGTTGCCTGGGCAGTTGGTGCAAAGCATCCAATGATCCTGTCATGTTGATGATGATGATGTTGTTCTAGTGGGGGTGAAACAGCACTTGATGGCCTAGAAAGAGATGCCACCTTGTCTCTGCATTGAAGGTAATGCTTATGGTGGGCGTCCTACGAGCCCTCACCAAGGAGGCAGTGCTCGGAGGGTGCTTAGAATTCCCGCATAATAGCTTCGATATGGCAATGTAAAGTAACAGGACATTTGGCTGGGCCCTCCTGCGGCTGCACTATCGTCCCTGCTAGTCCTCTACATGGCAAGGCTCGGACCACAAAAACCTTTACCACTGGGACTGCTTTCATGAAGAGCTCCAAAGTGAGGCGCGAGGTGAACAACCTGGCCTTCGAAACATTGCCTTTGGAGGAGGTTGTTAAAGCCTTCCGGGAGACGAAGGAGCTTCAGCGCGGTAAAAGGTTCCCAACGTTTCCCACCATCATTGCCAACGCTTACAGTTCTCAGTATGGCTGCCACGCCTGCCATGAAGCACAGCTCGATTCTATTTACTCCTGGTGTGCAGGACACTGCGGAATTGGAGAACATGCATCCTGCCTGCACTGGCATTGTCATTTTACTTCTTGTCTTCCCCAGCTGTAACGAGCCAAGTTGACTCTTCCTGGGCTTGTGCTCAGGTACATCCAGCCTGAGTGCGACCCAATGTTGGTGGCTGATGAGTAAGCTCGTGCCGAAATGGCTAGAGTTCGCTTGTAGATATCTTAGGACGCGTATCTGCATGAGTTCTGCAGGACGTGCAAAAGAGGCGTGTGGAAGACACATCAGACCACTTCTTAGACCACTTAAGTCACAGTCGCTCTTGCAGACATAAACGACAGGCCTACAGCTATGTGGAGCTGGGCAACAGGCTAAAGGCCATCGTCGGATCTGACCCGGAGTGCGACAAGGCTGCAAAGCTTTGCCACATTTCATTGTGCTCTGCCCCTCTGCGTGCTTTTGACCGCCAGGCTGGAGCTGCCCTCTGCGTAAACGTGGGCATGTGCCACGAGAGGCCGGAAGTGGAGAAGGAGGTAGAGGGAGAGTGTAGAGGTAGAGTCTCTTAGAGAGAGGCTCCAGCGGCTCCAGCATGCTCCAGACGCCTCTCTTTTTTTTTGAATCCTTAGGAAAGATTTACCTGGACTGGCACACTTCCTGGAGCACATGCTCTTCACGGGCACAACAAAATATCCCAAAGAAGGCTGGTATGGCTAAGCTCTGCATGGCAGCTGACCATGAACTTGTGTGAGTTTGGCTACCATTCCAGGCGAGTACCACGAGTTCATGAGCCAGAATGGAGGCATGGCCAACGCATATACGATGTGCTACTTCACGTGCTACATGCTGCGTACTCAGATTCGAGATGCTCGTGTTCAGCCCGTCCAGAACGTTTCCACATTGTTGGCGGACCAGATTTGTTGCTGTTTGTCGGGTAGTGGTAACCTTTCGTTGAAGAATGTACCGGTCTGGGCAGACCTTGTGAAAATGTTCAGGTATTATTCTTGTTGCTGGAGCAAGGCTCCCAAGCGCGGTTGGAATCATGATGACGCGGGAGTGATGTAGGGCACCCAAGCAGGCAACCGCCAGCAGTTCCACAAGATAGCAGCGGGGAAGATCGAACGCCATACAAATCAGATCCGCGTTTTCTACGCACCAGCACGGCAAACTGGATCACCGAATCACAACACACGCACACACACACACACACACACCTGGGGCTCAGATCGGCTGCCTTTGCGGCTCAGATCGGACGTAGCCAGGCTCAGATCAGTAGGAGGATCTGGAGGCCCGAATCAGATCACGTGTGGCCACGGATCAGATCGTGGTCTTGGCTTTGGGGTCTGCGGTCTGGGCTTGTTCAAGCCCGAAGGGTTTGGGGTCATTAGGTTTTTTGGCTTGTGGAGGGGCCGTGGATCAGGGCTTGTTTTGAGATTGTCTGAGGTCTAGGGTTGGGGGAGGGTTTAGGTTTTGGGGCTGTTTCGGGTTTGGGGTTGTTTGGATTGTCTAGGGCTGTTCGGAGGCTTGGTCTAGTCCGAACTGCTTGCCCCCTGAAACAAGTTGGCAAAGGCTGCAGCAAGAAGAACTAGTGAAACTCAGCTCGGAAGTGAGCTGGACAAGGTCGGGAACGTGGGGCAGTGGGAAGGGAAACGTAGATAGAGAAGTTTCGACGATTGCGACGGATGTGTTGGCGCACCGCCTGGGCAACGAAAACGGGGCTCAACAGTAGCGGGCGGCAGCAAGAGAAAGTCAGGTAGATAAATGTAGGCTTCAAACTGGGTAGTTGGATAGACGGTATCGGGGTCATTTCAGCACGAGACTGCAGGTGGTTGAAGGTTCTGCGAGACAGATTTTGATGTGAGGGGGGGAACAATGGTGGTAAGAGCGGTGTGTATCATATGCTTTGTTTGCGAGGAGTGGGCCTTCAAGGGGGATGTTGGGAGGGTCGGGCTTGGGATTTTTCAGGACATAATTTTCGTGTTGTTTGTTTCAGGGTTTTTTCGGGCTTGTTGGAGGTCCAGGTTTTCTTCTGGTTTAGGGTTGTTTGTGGTCTAGCATATGGAAGGTGCTGTTGTACAAGCTTGTATCATTTTCCTGCAGCTGCCCGCGGCCTCTCGCAACCCACTGTCACAGTGTGGGCTCTGTATGTGTGGGACTGCGGGGGTGGGCATAAGCAAAGCATAAGCCGAGCTAAAGGACGAGCTGTCAAACGTAACATGTCACCCAATCTTCAGGAGGGTTTAGCTTGGTTCGGAGTTCTGGGTATGGAGAGGATTCTTAAACGGGTTGCTAGGGGTCGAAGGTCTAAGGCGCGGGGAGGGTTTAAGGCTTGGTTTCTTCTAGGAGTGTCTCAATTGATTAGGGCAACATGGCTTTCTGAGGTTTTCTGGCTTCCCAAGCTGTTGCAACCACAACAGGAGTTTCCGCAACCGATGCTTTTTTAAAGAGACACGAGAACGGGATATATCACAATCAGTTAGTACAAATCTAATGGACCATGATTTGAGGAAAAGGGCCTTACAAAAAAGTGATGCCAATTCATCATGGTTCTTCAGGCAGACGAAACCAATCAGAACATACTGCCTTACGTTGTGATATCTCCCCACGGTTTCTTTCCTAGTCATGGGGTCTTTGAAGTAGATTGTAGCCCAGATACATTGCCTACAACAAATTGTCTTCAAAGCCAAATTGACGTTCGTGCATTGTGTTCCTCATTCCTAAAGCAGGAAATGCCTTACAAAGCGAGATAAAATCATATGATCATATTAGAGCCAGCAGACTTTTTTGGTTGTGCTATCCACTGTTATCGGCTGTTTGAGTTTTTGGTATCCCTCTATCTCGGGTGGGGGGGCAACTTCCGTCTTGCTTGCATATTCTCTTGCATCTGATATCTGATACACGACTATCTGCTCACCAGGCTTTCGCATATGCTCTTCTGTACTGTTGTGAAGTATCATATTCTAGCATACACTAGTGTTCAAACCCTAGACTATCGCAGGAAGAGTTTTGACACCTCACAGGAGCAAAGAAAATTGGTTGGAAAGAACGAGGTGTGAACAGACCAAGCAGTGCTTGAAGTATACAACCGCGAGCAGTGCTTTCGCTCACGTGCGCGCGAAAACCGAAGTCATGATGTTGAGCCTAATGAACAACCCTTCCAGTGATCTCTCCGCGCGATATCCGACGTTTTTCATGTTTCCTCTCTCTCTCTCTCTCTCTCTCTTTCTGTGCTAAACGCCATGCGCAAAATCCATGGAGTCACGATGCCTTGCTAGAGTTCAGTTGAGAGGGTGTAGAGTTTGGTGTCGCCTTGGATTTAGGGGTTTAGCATTGCTCGCGATCCGATGCGTATTCCCGTTGATCCAACTTGAGAGCTAGCGCGCGATCCGATTTGTAGGCTCCCCGATCGGTGTCGCATGCTCCTTGATCCAAGCCACATGATCCGATTTGTGCCACAAGCGTAGAAGATCGTGTGACTATGCCTCCTGTCGAGATCAGATAAAAGCCAGATAGCTTCCCCATTGCGAGGTTCGAAGTGAAGCCAGAGGCGCAATCACATGGCTGCAGCATGTTGTGGGAAGGCCTAGGGAATGCTGTGGATCGTGGAGCCTGGCAACTTATTGCTGCACCTGGGAGGCCCTTGTGGAGGCCTTGGACCGGTTCTCGCGCTTCTTCACAGAGCCATTGCTGACGCGGGAGCATCTACCCAAACCCCAGCTTTCCAAAGTTGAGCGACTTTACTTGGAGAATGGGCAGTTGCTGTTGTGATGGCAGATGATATGGTTGGTCGGAGGTCGATCCTTCAGAGCTGAATTGGACGGGCTGTCCTGGATGTATGTAGCGACGATATAGATCCTTGGACCCGGAGCTGTTGAGCTCCAGGACTGCACGGAGCGCGAGATCAATGCAGTCGGTTTCCTCAGGGTTGCAGCCAGCATTTGAGCATCACTTCGTTTCAATTCATGCTCTTTTCAGGAGTCCGTGTGTCTCGCTACATTGCATTTTGAAGTCCACAGGTGTTGAGTCCTGAAAGCTGCCGATCTCACGGGCCAGAAGCCTTCTCAGGTGGACTCAGAATTCCAGGGTGGCCAAACCTCACCTTGGTGGAGGTACGTTTGGGACTCAGCTGGCGGTCGCTTGTCCTTTTCAGGATCCATCAGTACCAAAAAGCTGTTCCCGGCCTTTCACTGGCAGGGAGCTGTAGCCAGTACCGAGTGCTGAGAGCTCTTATTTCAGGACCTGCCTTTGACTTTCGAAATAGACCTAGCACAACTCCTTGCATGAAAGCTGAGACCCCATCGGCTCTGGCAAGAGGTTTCAGCCACACTGGAGTTCCATGGTGCTTTACGAGGTTGGCATCATGAACATGAGCGCGAACCCGGAGCATCCCTTCCACGTTGCAGTAGGCAACAACAAGGCACATGGGCAGGGCTTTCCTGCTTGGGAGTTTGAGGGCTAAGAGCCTTCAACGGGAGGCTTTCAGCACTGAATTCTGGGTCAACATGTTGGCATCTTCACTTCCGAGTTCGGAAGGTGCTGCTCGAAGAGCCGAAGGAGCGGGGCATCGACCTCTACGAGGAGATGAAGAAGTTGTACGACTCACGGTTTGAAATGGCCTGAAGTGGTTCAAAACGTTGTGCCATGATATTCGCTTCTATAGATTTGCTGGCCTGGCAAAGGTGCGTGGCTTAATTTTTTTGAAGCATTTCAGCAGGCTGAACGTGTGAAATCTTGCAGTAACATGGCGACATCCTTCTCTTTTCATTGTGTCCAAAGAATCTCTTGCTTTGAAGCACGTCTTCATGTCCATGTACAGCTGGGTCATAGAATTTGGCTTCTTTCCCAATTACCTGTCCAGTGTGGTGACTTTGTGGTGGATCAAGTTGTACCAGATCGTAGATGGGAAGGTAGACAGCAGTTTGTTCTTGAAGCCGTCAACCGCGAAGCAACCCTCCAGCAAGCCAAGGAGTCCACGTACTCAGCAAATGGAATGACGTCAGGACCTCACACTGGAGTTCTCACAGATGCAAGACAATGTTGGTTGTCAGAGTAATGCTGGGCTTGATCCCTCAACCTCACTTTCACCCGAGCCTGAACTCACGACTTGAAACCTTGCGACAGTACAGGAAGTTGCACCTGGTTCGAGCTGCATAGCGTTGAGCGGTGTTTTGGCCCAGGCTATGCGTCTTCGGAAAAGAATCCTCCAGTGAGCTGCAAGAAATTGTCACAGAAAAGCTCGCAACTCAGATGAATACAATCAGGAAGCAAGCTTGCTGAGAGTGTATTTGAGTAAATCAGGTACTGAAGCGCGTATTCCAGCACAAGGGTCTGAAATGCCTTGATGTCAGCAGTCCTACTGAGTTGACATCGCTGCAACAATTTTGTTCAAGGCAAAATACCCTTGCCTTCAGTGTGAACGATCATATTCGATGAAGGTTTCCACAGCCATGGTTTTGACCGCAATTTTTGCAAAGAGACACGGTTATTGAGAGTTGCAAGAGCCCCTTATCTTTCGGCCGAGCTTTGCCATGGTAGCAGCTGGCAATCAGCTCCCGGCCCTCCTGCACCAGCCCGCAATGAGAGAGAAATGGCCCGACCAGACGAGAAACGGCCGGAGACTTAGGTTGGCCAACCAGTTTTTAAGATTAAACCTGAGCATCAGATTGAGCGTGATGGCTTTTCTGGCAAGCCTTTGTTGGATGTTGCGGTATTGCTGGGGCAGTCCAGAGCAACGTGGTGTTGACTTCGTGTCCTTTCCTCTGGAATCGTGTCCTTTGTGTTGGTTGCAGCTGCCACTCGTACGCCGAACCTTGTGGTCCCTAGCATTGTGAGAATCCTGACGGCGAAAAGTATTACTTTTGATGTTCACCGCTGGTTTACACTTGTGTATTTGCGGCTTCTTGCTTTTGATGTCAACTTCATGATGTAGTAGTTTTTCCGGGACCTCAGGCAAGCGGACGCTTTTGCAGCTCCTTCTTGCTGATGTGTCTGCGGCGCTGATAGTAGGCCGGGTATGATTCTCAATCTAGACCCAATTCCTCGGTCCTTTGGCTTGAAGTTATTTCTTCATCTCGAGCACCACCACGTGGCACGTAAGTGAGAGGGAGGCGATGCCTGGGCCAGACTGGAAAGCCTGTTGCTGCCTTGAATCCTTGCTTTCGGAAGAATCTCACAGGTTTTGGCCTTGCCATTCTACTGGCGCCAATGGATCTTGCAATGCTCCGTACCGCCCTCAGACGCTGGAGGTGGGACCTTCAAAGTGAGGCAAAGGTTTTTTATGCAGCAAGCACATCAATCAGAGTCTATAGAGGCCTTCCTAGAATTCGAAACAGGACTGGGTCTTCTTGAGGTGCCGGCAAGCCAGATTCGCCTGGTGCCCTGGTGATGCTTGCCAGCGTCTTTCAAGACTGCGTGTGGCAACCTGGCTTACGAGCTTCAATCTGTTCTGAGATTGCCCAGTAACAGCATCATGTGGAAATGCTGATTGCAGTCGGATTTACCTGCTCAGAGAGTATCTAATATGATGTGGTCGCAATATGTTGCAATTTTCCAAATCCAGGCGTCCAGAGCTTGTGCTCCCAGCCGTGGCCTGGACGTGGTTCCTCTTCTCGGGTACCTACGGCACTGCCAATGCCACCCGCACACTCTGCGAGCGAGCAGGATGGCGACCGGACGTTCTTGCTACCTGGCATTGGATACGGAATTGGCAACTTGAACTAGTTTTGAAGCCTTCTTGCATTCCTGTTTTGCAGTACATGCTAATCAAGCCAAACATGGCGAACCAGGCTTAAACCACTGCATGCGAAGGTGTGGCTTTGCACGACGACAGTCAACTGCGTTATTATGTGTTTGAAGGACACTCGACCGCCCTGATTGTCGAGGGATGCTGTTCAGGGTTCATTTTGAGTTGCGATCACGGATTCGTTGGAGTGCTATATGTGGAATTCGATTATGCTGCAGATTCATGTGCTTGATTGCTGCAACGTGACGGACGTGTCAAATCATGACCATGACGCAGCTATTCCTGACAACTGAGGACGCCTACCTGACAGGAGGCAGCCTTGTTCCTCCCGGTGCCACTTGGCCTTGATCCATGGTTTTGCTGCTGAGACAGGAGCCTGGCTTGCACAATGGCTGATGTAGTCGTCGGTGCAGCGCGAGTCAGAAAACGCACTCACTCGCGAATCAAGCCGCCCGCGAACGGGAAAACAGGGGGCGAATTAGAAAACAGATGAGCAAGAATCAGAGAGCGGCGTGCGGCGGCGTCGGAAAACAGCGCAAATCAGGAAACAGACGAGAGTGAACGAGAAAACGGTGTAGGGGCAAATCAGCTTGCAGGGGGCACAAATCGGACAAAAAGCCTTTTCGCGAACGAGCATGGCATTGAGCGGCTGGAGCTAGGCGCAGCTGTCTGCATTGGTGAAGCGGAGCAGGGCGAAGATGACAGAGACCAGCGGCAGGCAGCCAAGAAGTAGCAAACAGACCAGCCTTGGTGGGCAATGATGGTGGCAGGGCAGCAAGCCGACGCACGGCACGGATGGTGGAAGCAACCAGTTGCCTGGACGTTTCCCAGTTGAGGGTATGACGGCTTTTGGGGTCAGTACTACTGGAATCAATTTGAGTCGTCTGACTGGACAAGGTGGGCTACCTGGGACAGTGGCCTAAGGGCATCAAGAACATTAACAAGAGCCCGAGCCCGCCGAGTTGACGGAAGCAGTCGACCAGCTGGAAGCAGCTACTGAGGAGATCGTTTGGACAAATGCCACGGGGAAGCCCTGAAGACGCAGAAGGAACATGTTCCGGAGTACGATGGAGTTAGGCCGATGAGGGAGTACCAACGAAGAGTTCGTCTCTTCTAAGTGTCGGGATCATCCCATCATCTCGGGCCCAGAGGCTCATGGAGCGCCTCACCGGCCAAGGTTTTGTCAGGGCGCTGAATTGAAGGTGTCTTCGGGGCTCTGGGGCTGATTTCGAGCACCCGTTTACGACTTAGAGAGCAAGCTCGAAAAAAGTCCTAATCCTGGATTTCGTTTTGCACGACCATTTCGGCCTTTTGTGCGTATTCTGATAGGGCCATGGGTTTCTGACCCGGCCTCGTGCGTTTCCCGATTCGCCCCGTCGCTGCGTCTGATTCGGCCCTGGGCGTTTTACGATCGGCGTCCGATTCGCACTTTACCCCTGATGTTAGGGGGTGGGACTGTAGAATTTGAAAAGGAAAGAAGAGCTGCTGGCCTGGTTGGCCATGTGCTGGTCCGACTCTGATCATTTTCCGGACACGGAGGATCCAGTGAGCACAGTGTAAGGCTTTGGGCTGTAAATGAGGATATGGATATGTTGCGGCTTATAGTTTCATCAAAGGTCCCGGCCTGAAGGCTTCTCACTTTGGATAGTCGGACTTGCGATGCAAGTGTCAAGCAGCTGTCAAAGGCGTGGGTTGAAAGCTCTGAGGAAGACACAGTATCATCGGAACACTGTTCGCAGCGTTAGCGCGGAGTGCTTCTGACTCACAGGGACGGCGGTAGAAGCTTTGCACAACTACTGCACTGGACTGCATTTTCAACAATCAGCCAGGGAGGCAGGTGTCAGGCGGCTGTGTTGAAAAACCGCGTGAGAGAGGTGTCAGAATGGAGTGGTATTTAGGAGTTTGAATTCGATGCGGGGTGTCCCCCTAACCCTTTTCTTTGTTCGTTGTTTTCATGAAGTGCAGTGACTTGGATACGAGGCTGCCATCGTTGCCTGGGTGGCACGTGACCTGATGTTCTCGCTGGTCGTTTTTGTGTTGCCGGACAAGTTCCTGGGCGCATGGGCGTCTCTTAGAGGCTGCAGGGACTTGGGGATGACAGGAAATGGTGCAGCAATGCCAAGATCTGCTTCCATAGAGTCGGCTCTCTACCACAGGAATCGTTCCCAATCCTCCGCAAACATTGATAATGACGACTATAGACCTCCAACAGCAATGGTAAGGCCCGGAAACTATGCCTTCGAAAGACATTGCACACAACAACCACCCTTGAGCAAGCTCTGGCTAAGGATTAGTGCCAAGCTCGTTGCAAGGGGCATCACAACCATCCGCGGTTTCCAAGTGCAGGACCTCCTTGCAGCATGTAGGATTCAAGACACGTCCTGGGCGATGCAGGCTAGATTGTACGTGGTTTAGGAGGCAAAGTGTACAGAGTGTTTCGCAGTCGTTAGGAAGATGAGAGCATATTAGGTCGTGCATGAAGTTGCGAGCATGAAGCCGCGATATCACTTCCTGATGTGTTAGCGATGCCAGGATGTTGTGCAGATTCTTTTGCCCCTTCCGCTGCAGCTCTTCACCACCCCGCTTCACTTCTTAGGCTCCTTTTGCTGCAGTACAAGTTTTGTCGCATGTCTGCAGGGCGTGCCTGGAGCAACTGCACCATGTATGCTCTCATGCTGAGTTACGTAATGAAGGCTCTTGAGTCTCCCACTGGCTGAGAGAATGAAGCCTCGAGACAGGAATTTCATTCGTGGCAAACCCCGGACCTCTGGGAGCCTCTGCTCGCTTCGCAGCCGCCTTCAGGGAGTTTGGCCTCCGCGTTGGTATTCGCTGTGCACGTGTGCTGGTGCCCCCCCCGGGCACGGCTTTTCTTCCAATAGTCTCAGGTTGCAGCATGTTGCAGCGTAGTTAAATCTTGGGGCTGAGTGGAGTGAAGTGAGAAAACAGCAGGAGCTGACGCTTCGAGTTTTGTAGCCGAAGTCTTCTTTGTTTATGCTTGGTCAGGTGCCGTACTGCTTTGGTGCTGTGGTCAATCGTAAGCTCAGGACAGATCCAAGGGTTTTAAGCAGGCACAAATCAGCCTGACCAACGTGATTCCAAGTCCTTAGGCCTGTAACGTGTACTCCTCTTGAGCCATGCAGGATGCACTTCGCAACTGCCTGGGAGCCCGTCCGCGTGTCCTGCTCCCAGGAATGTTTTGTGACACAGAGAGGGTGGCAGGTGTGCTAGTCTTAGAGCCGTTGAGCTCACCCAGCAGAATTTGGCCTGTGCTTGAGCTGCTTCTTTCGATCTTGTTCTTGCCTGAGACTTGCAAAGGCTGCTAGCTTGTGTGTATCAGGCAGTTTGTTCTCCTGGAGTCCTAAAGGTTGCTCTGGATATATGCCGCTGCTGAGGTCGGAGGCATCTGCTCTTTGGCCTGTACAGGTTTCTGCAAAGGAATGGTCGAGAAGTGATACCTTGCGTTGTCTGTTTTTTTTTTTCTTCCCGGTGCAGCAGTTATAACCCAGCAGCAACCGCAATCATGAGAAAGATGCGACAGGCAGGCGGCAAAGATAAGGATAGCAGTTGGAGCAAGTCGGAATTTGGTGCTTCTAAGTTGTGAACAATGGTGGAGTCGTCATTTCACGTTGTCCGGCATGCAGGTATGTCACGGTGAAATGGCAACATGAGTTTTTGATTGTCTGCAGAGCTTCAACGCTGCCGAAATATCAATCGCATGAATTCTCCAAATGTAGGACAGGTCGGTTTTATGTTGTGACTAGTGCTGTCTGTGCGCAAGGCCCACGCTGTAGAGTTGTCTCCCCGAGCTGGACGCTCTGGCTTGCGGGCGCTGGTGCTGGTGCTCTTTGCGCTGCTTTTGCTGCAAGGGCATTTGTCCCGGTGGGCCCGGAGCTCAGACAGGGTTGGAATCAAGTTTAATCGGAGCGCAGCTGCAGTTGAGTGCCCTTCAGGTCGTCCTCTTCCTGGCAGGGATGATGATGTCACGACTGCCTGCAGCTCGCTCACCAAAGGCTCTCTTAATTCCGCTGGCAGCTACTGTGGAAGAGAGAGGGGCTACTGTTTGAGATGGGAGCCTATGTGCAAGAATAATGTGAAGACTTCCATGGCATTCTTGGTTCAAACACGGATGACAGTACCACAATGAAGGAAGACTATAGGCTCCTAAACAAGGCCTGTTGGACACCAGGCGGGAGAGCGTGATTCTTCAGTGCCTCTGCATGAATGCAGGAAGGCTCCTCGCCGACTGCTTTTGGCAGACATGATTTTTGCAAGCAAGATTGTCGACAATCTCCGCGTCGATTTAATTGAATTTTCACGCGTGAGAGTGCAAGTTGCCGCATTGGGTTCCTGCGTGTGGGCTGTGCAGGGCACAGCTTGGGAGCCCGTCCGGTATCGGGGATTGTGAAGCCAGCCGAAAAGGCATCGCAGGAAAGAGCTGCGTTACAACCCTGCAGGTACAGAATCGGGAATGGTCCCAATCTTTTGAGTTCAGAAAGGAAGATGATGCGGCTGCATCGGCACCCGTCAGTGTGGTCGCCTCAATTCCCTTGAATTGACCGCTGCCTATACGAACTCTACAATCAGGGCTGCACAGGTTCGGCTCCTTTGAATGATTTTCCTCTGCAGCGTGCACCTGCACGGATGCACAAGGACTAGGTGCGGCGAGAATTCACTAAGCCTCAAGAAATAAGATGGCATTCCTCCCAAACAAAGCAATTCCCAGCGGAGTTGCTGTGCCCCGCTGCGCCTGTTCCCGGACTTTGAAGGGGCGACAAAGGCAGCAAGACAACGTCCAGTAGTCCAGTCCCAAGACTCTTAGCCAGAGATGGATGCCATTGCAACGTCAATGGCGCACTGCCTACCTGCACCGCACAGATGTGGCCTGTAGAGCCTCGTGAGTAGTTCTAGTCACTTCCATGGTTTGCATATTTTTGTTAGACAATCCACAACTCTTTCAGTTTGGCAATGCTTGGATGCTCGGCCTTTTTCCGAAGCTGAGATGTCTTTGGATTGTGAAGATCAAGTTGCTTCTGCAGAGATAGGGGCAGTGTCAAAGGGGTGGGAGGCTCCGCCGCAACTATCTCATATTTGCGCATTCGTGCAAGTCTTTGGGAAGTCGCTGACGTAGGACGACCTCCGATCCCGCAACAAACAGGCACTGAGGCCCAACATCAGCCGCAAGGCACCTAGCAGTGGCAGAGGGCCCTCTGCTTCCAGTCGGTCAGAACTGCTGCGACTACATCAGTCAAAAGCGTGTGTTCAGAACTTAGTTTTCAGAACTCCGAGATTCTGAAACGTTGCAGCTTGTTCAAGTCCAACTGGCCGTTGCCTTTTCTCATGGTGCTCTTCTAGCCGCTGGGAACAACATGACTTGAAGGCATGTTGCCGGCCGAGCCCAAGCCTGTAAAGCACGTTGTCTCAATTTGGGATCGGGGTGTGTAATTAGCTAGGAAAAGCAATTGATCCAGAAGTTATTGAATTTTGAATCATGATTAACCAGAACCAGCTACCTCGTTCAACATGCCCTTGGGCAATTAAATCAGGATTGAAAATGTCTGGTGTATTAGGGGAGCAGAATTCTTCAACATCCTAATTGAATTCTTCTACTATCCAGGAGGTAGCCAGAGGCGTCTAGCCACAATTAAATCACGGTTTCATCGTGCGGATCTTAGAACGGATCTAATCCGTACCCTACTATATATATATATGTATATGTATATATGTAGATATATAGATATGTATATGTATATGCATATGCATATATCGGGTATTCCCAGAGACCCAGAGTCGCAGAGGCCCATGGCCACAATTGAATCGTGATTGTGATTTGATTGTGCGGATTTTAGCTCTGCCCTACGATATATTTATATATATATACACGTATGTACCTGGTACTCCTAGAGACCCAGAGTCCCAGAGGCCCCTCGCCACAATTTGACCGTGATGTAATTTATGCTTCAGCGGAATTCATTGGACATTTCAGCCCACAATTAAGTCAGGATTTAATTGTTTGGACTCTCGCTTTACTCTCGGGCAGTGCCCGTGCGGTTCATGGGGAAGGCGCTGCACGATTACTAGACGAATCAAATCAGGATTTAATTGTTCTGGATGTAGGGGGTTGCCAAGGTGACCCGGGCAATGAACTAAGACCCTACTTTTCTTTAACTCTTGGATCAACTGCCTTCCATGTAGGTAGTGGCATTTCGCGGGTGAGGCTAAGTTAGAAGTTAGAAGTTGTTACGGACGTGTATGCAGGCTCGGGGAGTAGCAGAGAGCTTGTACCTGGTACAGGCTACGTTGGTGGTGCGAAGGTGAACCGTGGTAGTGTCACCCACACTCTGCTTGTGCTCAATGTTGATTCTGCCATCCAAAAGTGGTTGTGGGTGGGCTTCCGTTCCCAGATTCTTGCCCGGCTCGCCTGTCTGTAAAGTCCACCAGTAAACTTGAGACGGAAGGCTGGCCGGTGCTGCAGGTCTGAACAGCACCGGTGGGGCCGTTCATTCGTCAGATAGGATCCCCATAAACTCAAACTTTTCAATTGGCGAAGAGGTAAAACTTCTTTTTGTGACTCTTGGCCTTCGCTTAGAAACTGTTTCGACCATGGTCCCAATATTGGCTGCTTCAGGTTCGGGGCTGTGGTCAACAAAGGTTTGACTATGCCAATTGGAGACAATGCAAGGGCCTCAGCCTGAAGCCTTCAGTGGAAATGTTTCTGCGAGTCAGATCAGCGTGTGTCACCTTGATGCAACCTTGCAGACAGGCAATGCAGTATTTGATCTGAAGGTTTGTGGAGGGCACAGGGTTCATGCCAAACTTGCCTTTTCACTAGATACTTGTTTTCTGTCGGCGTCTATGACTCTTGCCCAGAAGGTCAGCGACAAGCCACCTTTCCTTCCCAGCGAATGGCACCAGCAGCTGCTGCAAAATCCGGCACAGGACATCAAGGTGGCGCCGAGCATCGCGGCATCTAAGGGGCTTTTCATCAGGCACTTTAGTTTTGTTCTTGCTTCGTTGCAAGGCTCTGGATCGACAAAGCTTATAGGCCATAAAAAGGTTGCAGGAGCAGGGATCTTCCACCGTATCCTCACAAAATCTCCAAAATGGCCTTGGGCAGGATGTTTGAAGTAGCTTTGGTGCCTGTCTTTCACATGACCATGCCAATCATGCTTCAAACCTTCTTGACAGGATTTGACTTTCAGCTGGGTCATTCCCTTCCAGGACGATTGCTTGCGAAGATGACGCTAGGGTTGCGTGATGAGGTTTCGCAGTCAGTTCTGCCCAAAGTGAGTAGGGCTGTATTTACCAGGAACTCAGAGAACAGGAGGGTCCAAACTGAATCGCATCTATCATAGGCATCCTGTACACGCTGACACATAGGAACAACAGTAAGGTAAATTCCGGGAGGATGGCACCGCTGACCCAGGTCTTGATTGCAGGCTGAGTATTTGTAGCTTGCTGAAGCTTCCCTTTTGGATGACAGCCACCAACAATGATAGGAAAGCAATGTATGCTCGCGTTCGGCAGCGTCTTGTTTCTTATGGGCTCGTTACTGTTTAGCCGTTCACCAAGTTGCCGGCCAGGACCCATTTTGGACATCTAAGCCTTCGCTCTACATCTCGCACTTGCCAGCGGCACAGATTCTTCATCTGCGTGTACCGTACAGGACACTTCCCGTACAGCTTCTGACGGCCTGTAGTTGTACTCGTCTTATGCCAGCTCATCTAGGCAAGTCTCAAGAACCCTCCCCCTTGCACATCTTATCTCAACTCCCCGGCACTGCCGGGCCATCGTGGCTGAAAGACGCAGCAAGGCCTGCAATCCTGCACCCTGCCCTTGCAGAGGTTGGGCCATGAGGGCGCAGGCTCTGCGCGGTGCTTAGCACTGTGTCTGTCGAAGTCCATGTGATGTACGGAGTAAAGTTAGGTTGGGGGAGACCTCTAGGGGATGTGTAGGAGGTTTAGAGGGGATCTTTATGACTGTTATGGAACATACTATAACTTTAGTCCAGGGCTCATGTGTAGTTGCTTTCTTCAGCTGGGCTTTGGGAATAGGGTGCAAATTATATTGATTTACGCCAAGATGTCAGCTTCCGTGATCATTGATGTTTTGCCGCGGCAGCTGTTCATCTTGCGGGAGCAGATGCAGACTGCAGTCCATGATTTGTGACTCAAGTTTACATCTGAACCGAAGTCGGCATTGTGCTGTTGCACAGGTGATCGCATGCCTGAAGCAAAAGGGGCAGCTCGTCTCGATGGTGCTGTTTTGAGGGGCGGGTCTGTGCTCAATAAAAAGGCCCCGCACAGGGTTTTGAATTAACTTTTTGGTTGAATTTTTGGTGCAGCTCGCCACGAGGTGTTTTCATGCATTGGGGCTGCATGTCAAGCTGTGGGCTTCGGAGGTTTCCAGTACATGTCTGGTGTTAGGGCGGTTAGGCTGGAGCATGCGGTAGAAGGATTTTAAAGACTGCCGGACTGCTAGCCGGGAAACGCGTTCATGTCGACAAATCTTAGGTTTTCTTTGCAGGCAAAAATACAAGAAAGCCCCTGTAAGACAGACTGGGCCATGGTAGACCCGCCTGAAATGGCTGGATTGTGTAACATGCACCTCCACGAAAGCTGCACAGGCTGATCTCAGCATGTGGCGTAGGCGACGGCAACTGGCTGGACAGGGCTTTGCTGGAGTCTGGCTAGGTGTATGTCACCATGCGATGTGAAAAGCATATTTGAGATGGACCGTAGGGCTGATTTTTTATGATTTGGGAGAAAACTTATATGTCTTCGCATACTTCCTCTGTGGCTTCGAGGCCCCAGAACCGGGGAACCTTTGTTCATGCCAATCTCCTTTCACTGCTGAAGCCACGTGCTTGCATGTGCTTGCGATGCTTGCGATGGTGTTTGAGGTCTGTTTTTTGATGCCCTGCGAGGAGGGAGCCTTTAGCCTGGTGAAGGTGAACTTTGATCTAACAGACAAAGGACTGGACTGCATCCAGGAGATTGGGTGCGGTCCTTGGCTTCGTTGCTTCCTTTCTTTCCTTTCTTTCCTTTGTACTGTGGTGCTGCATGATATTACAGTCCAGTATGCGATTTTATACTGATGTATCTTATAGTATTTCGGCTCTGACGTGGCATGTGAATGATTGCTGTCTACAGCATGGCTCCAGCAGCCTTGCTGATAGCGGGTATAGTTTTGCAGCCGACCTGTTGTCATGGATGTTGAGCCCTTAGAGAAGCTCTTCGGCCAGCTCACGGACACTGTTGCCACTATCCAGCATGGACACGAAAGCATTGACCGATTGGCGAAGAGGCAAGATGAGCTGGAAGTCACCATTGTAGACATGAAGCAGGAAGTTCAGAAAAGAGATGGCTCAATCGAAACGTTGCAAGCTGAAGTCGAACATCTTCAACGATGTATTCTCGGGGAGCGAAGCGTGGCAGAATCCGAGCAAGTGAATGTGAAACACGATGTTGAACCGCACTCAACGGAAGCGTCGTTTCAAGCTGTGCAAGACTTGCAGTGATTTCGCCTGTCAACATGGCGTAGGGCCTTTTTTTTGACTCACCGGCCTAGACCAGTGTCGACCGGTCTCCATCGTTTTCAACCAGTCTGGACCAATCTTGATCAGTCTCAACCGGTCTCGACCAGTCCTGACTGGGGCCCGATCAATCCAAAACCCCGAGATCTCAGCAGTTCTGCCCCCGAGCTCGATCTTGAACAACGACTTTTTGCACCCTCCAGTCGAGACACATTGCCAAATTTCGATCAATCCCAAACTCCGCAATCACAGACTACATTTTCCAAACTCTATTTGACCCTTTTCCATCCGAACCCGGAAATGACTTGTTCTCTCAAAACCTTTAAGTTAAGGATTGTAAACAATCCATACAGCTTTGTCTTCCAGGGCTTCGTGCGTGCGGTGGCTGTGCTGGATTAAGGCAGCACCTCTTCGCTTACCTTGGCCTGCTCGCAACCCAGTGTGTGTGCGCGGTTGTGGCTTGAAAAAAGGCCTACCGTCTCCATCGCGGGGCATGGGCAGTGAACGCAAGCAAACCTCGAAAGCCAGCTCCAGGCTGCAGAAGATGCCGCCCGAAAAATGGATTTTTGACGAGATGCAGCAGACCTGTCCTGAGGAAAGCGTCACATTTTGTCTGGCAGAAAAAGCCAAACATGATAGCTGTGAGGTTAGGGGATATGCGTTTCAAGTTCCGGGAGGACCGGGGCAGCCACAACACTGCTGGCACTTGAGGTGTAACGGGTTTGTCAGGATGCCGCACCCTTTGATCTTTGCCCACAAATTGCTTCCAGCCTTCAGAAGATGCCGCCCTAGTCTCAGGCGGAGACAGAGACACGATTTGATCAGACCCCATGCAGTTTCTAAGGCCCTCAGAAGCTCTGTGTGGTGAGATCTTGCTCTATGAGACCTCTTCTCAGAAGCACAGTCCAGCAGACCGTTAATGTTTGGCTTGCGTTCCGCTTGATCGCGAGGTATGATCCACATGCGATCGTGTCACTGCTTTCCAAGCTCACTTTAGACAGTGTCCGGGCTCGGTGGCCAAGACGTTGCTGTGACTTGACGGGCACGACTGATGTGTGGTATTGACAAAAGCTGAGGTCCAGGTGCAAGCCAAAAAGCTTGCGGACCGCTGCACACAAAAGGATTCGTCGTATGGCCCACTGGCTGCATATGCAGTCATCCTGTCTAAGCCTATGCGGACCATCTACATACATGTGAGGCTCTCCCATGCAGCTGCTTCCTATCGACTCCGCATGGCTGGCCAGGTGCCCGGGTTCATGGTACAGCTGCTGCATGCTTGTGCTCCGACATCAGATGTGTGGTCGAACTAGGGTACGCAAGAAAACATGTTCGAGTGCAAGCTAAAGAGACTCCTGTTCAAGCTTGTAGCGACTCCAGAGATGGCAAGATAAGGAATCATGGGCAGCTGCCGTAGCTGCAAGTGGTGCAGCAGAGGCCCAGCGTCCCATTAGTGCAGCAGTATGACTCATTGGAGACAAGTCATATCAGGAGCTGCTTCAGGAGAAATTTGGCTGGCTTGGGGGTAGGGCTCGTTTGATCTTGTTTACATTCTTGTTATTGTCGCAGGTACCATAACTTTTCTACGAACTCTATCCGACGTGGACATGTCCCAGTAGCAGAGAGTCCCAAACAGATTTGATGCACAGCTGCCAACGATTCCGGTGCGACGTTCAATGATATGACGCACAGTTCCCAAACTGGACAGCTGCACCACGCGCTGTGGTCATGGGTCTCTCTACATACAATATCAATTCACTGATGGAGCTCAGTTCCCACTCCGTATGCGCAGTTTGCGTTGCGACGCGCAGGGCCATTGTTTGAGGCTGCGTGAGCGGTCTCAGGTCTGTGTTTCTGAACGATGAAGCATATCCCGATGTGGGCTTTGCAGATTTGCTGCATTTTTTTTGTGATCCCGCGTTCGTTTGGCTGCTAACCGGGTCCTTGTAGAGGTGGATTCTGTTTTGCCCTGCCGGTGACTCCACCTTCGCTAGCGAAAGAAGGTATTCAAATCCTGAGCTGCATGGCAACCTGGCAAGCAGGAATCCAAAAGAATCACCAGCGAGCTCGGGTTAAGCCTGCCAAAGCCGTGGTCTTAGAAGAGAGCGATCTCATGCCGAATCGCTTGAGCTCTTCTGTCGCTATGTGGTGTAGCACATGCGCGCATGTGAGGATGAACATGTTTTCGACGGACCGCAGCTTGCCGGCTCCGTCGCTTTTCGCTTCCCTGCCTCCTTTGTGCCTTTCTCATCGCTTCGACGACATGGCCTCGACACCCGTCTCGTCGATTGCCTCGTCTGCCACTAACGTGGCCGACGTTTTGGCGTCCCTCGGCAACGACGAGCTCGCGGCGGAGGTGGGTAGCTGGTCGGCGGAGCTGCAAGCTAAGGTGGTGGCGGCGGTATCCGCCCTTTCTTCGACGTCGACATCGACATCGGCGTCTACTGTGGTCCGGCGCCGCAAGAGCAACAAGCTCGACGCGGCCTCGTCTTCCACGGCGGCATCCTGGTTGGCCCCGGCGGTGGAGCCGGCTGACCTTTCGGCGGAGCTCACCGCGATCCAGGAGGGTGAGCGCTCGCCGGCCGCAACCACCATTGCCGACGACGAGGTCATCAACTTCGGCGCCATGCAGACGCGGTTGGGCAACCCGCCCGTCGTCGTGGTGGACTTCAGCGGCGCTACCGGCCCGGACCTTGGAGGGCCGGAGGGCAGCGGCGCAGACGCAGGCGGCCACGGCGGCGCACGTCGACCGCTACGGCTTTCTTGGCGGCTGCTGGCGGCGATGGAGGCCCGACCTCGGCGCCTACTACCACGTCGCCTACGCCCCCGCCCCCATCGGCGCAGCCGAAGCCTAAGGCTCCGCCCCCCCCCTTCAGGGGGGACAATATCGACGCTTCGTCTGCCTCGTCGCCCCATCCCGGCGGCCCAGAGCCGCGCGAACAGGTCGACGACTATGCCGAAAGGTCGGCGACCGTCCTGGCGCAGCGGAGCAGTCTGACTGAGCTCCAGCGCCAAATCGCGGCGGAGATGTCCGACGCGGCGCAGGAGAGCGGCAACTGGGGAAGGGTCGGCGGCACGGACCGCTGCTGCTCACTGGTCCGGCGGCCGCGCCAGGTCCAATGCGGTGGTCTTCGTGCGCGCGTCGTTAAAGGCGGGCAACTACCGCTCCGCCCAGAATTACTTCGACGACGCCTTCCGACACCAGGAGGTCCACCTGCAGACGGACGTCGACCCCAGGGTGGTCAAGTCCATCGTCATAGCCCTGCCGGGCGCCCGGTTGAAGGAAGTGTTTGCCCTCGGCTGCCTCGACCGGCTCGTGGTGCTGGCGGCCGGCACGCCGTTCTCGGTCGAGGACGTCGCCCACATGGCCGACGTGGTAATCATCGCCGCTTGGATTATGCTCAGGGAGATTGAGCTGGGATCGGCGTTGCTCAAGGACCTCGGCCTGACGACCACCCACGTGGCCATCGACGTGCCGCTCCACAAGACGGCCCCCGGCGGCGAGTGTGTCATGACACGCCGGCGCCTTGAGTGCGCGTGCGGCGTACAGGTACAACCGCTGTGCCCCTTCCACGCGGCTCAGCGCCACCTACTTCGGCTGCGGCTCCGAAATTGCACCGGGCAGGACGACCCGGTACTGCCGGCGCAGGACGGCGGATTTATGCCGAAGCACGCCGTGATCAACAAGTTCCGACAGGTGCTGCAGGCGGCCGGGATCGAGCTGACGTATGTGGACCCCAACGACAGACAGCGGCAGCTCTTCGGCGGCCGCTAGGGTGGCGGGCGCCTCCTTTCTGGCGGCCCACGGCGTCCTGACCAGTTATCCAGCGCTCAGGACCTCGCCACTGGCCCTGGCGCCCGGCGCGGCGGCGGCGGCCTTAGGGAACGCGGCGATGCCGGAGCCAGAGGGTATCTCGCGCGCCGAAGCGGCAGGCGTCGCCCAACGAGGCCGACCTTGAGAGGGCCGAGTGGGTGACCCTGCGGTCGTTGGTGTTATGGGGCCAAGAATTTTTACCGGCTGGACGGGATGCCTCCCGGAGCGGACGCCTGCCTCCGCTGCTTCCCGCCGGAGGCGGAGCCGGCCGAAGACGCCGTGCCGCCACAGGCGGGCAAGAGGTACGACCAGAGAAAGTTGTCCTCAGTGGCCGAGTCCTCGGCGGAGTCCGGTTCAGACGCATCAGCGACCGTGGAGGTCGACTGACTTCGGCAGAGGCCGACCTATGAATCGTGCCTGGATCGGCGCGTCAGCAAAACGACTTGCGACGCGTGAGCACGCTGGGTTTGCACTCACATGTGTCGGCCGCACTTAAGGTGATGCCCGCGACCTCGTCGCAGTTTTGGATCTTAAGTCGGCCACCCACCCTCCCGTCGCCCCTCCTGGCTACGGCTTCGACTCCGGCCACGGCGGCGTCTACATGATCGCCTTTGCGGACCTGGCCTAGGTGGGGGCAGGCCCCCCCCTCGTCAACTACCTGACGGCGAAAGGCTTGGACCGCACGGCGACCCTCGCGCTTATCGTCGACAACGTCGCCGACTTGGTCCACCAGGTCGTGGAGCCCTTCACGGCGGGGTGCACCATCAACGGCGTCAACCACTCGGCGCAGCCCGAGCACCACGCCACCGTCAGGGCCATTATCACCCACATGTGGCGGGAGGCGCGCAGGCACCGTCCTCCACGCCAACGACGACGGTGACTTCGACGGGCGTGGCGGTCGACCCCGACGACAAGATCCCGAAGACGTTTGCCCACTGCGCCACCCAGATCGACGTCTACAACAACCGCCTCCTCGACGGTAAGAAGCGGCGCTTCCTCGAGAACATGCTCGCCGGCGCGGAGTCCCTGGCCAGGGTGTGGCATGAACACACCAAAACCAAGGCGTGCACGCCGATCAGCCTTGGCGAGATCCTCCAGAAGCGGCTGTTCACGGCGTCTGGCGACGTCAATCCGCTGACTCTGCCCAGACAGGGCTCCTCGGCAACAGCCGGCCAGGCGCTGCGGCTCGTGAATGGCGAGGTGGTCTCGGGTCAGTGGGCGCCCCGGTCGTTGCTGGCGATTATCGACGGTGTCGACGCTGCCAGGTGGGCCCTCATACTCGTCGAGGTCGGCAAGGAGGAGGACATTAACGCATTCGCCGACTGGTTCGTCGCCAAAGCCCGCAGCAATCCTACCAAGCTCGACCAGGTGAAGCGGCTGTGGCTGGAAGCGTCGTGGGCCATAGCCCTGGGGATGCGGGCCGGCAAGACGTTCAAAGAGATGGCCGCCGAAGTCGTGGCCGACACGGCGATGGTGAACGAGGCCATGGCGTACGTCGAGCCGGCGCCGAAGCGCAACCCCGCCAACGGCAGCACCAACGACGATGACTTCCAGCCCAATGCGCCGCGCCGCGCTCGCGGCGGGAACCGCCAGTATAGGCGCAGGAACTATGACGACGACTACCGAGGCGGTCAGCCGGGATCGACAGGGCATCGTGCAGACGATCGCGACGATTGGAGAGAAGACCGCCGAGATGACCGTCGCGGAGACCGGGGCCAGGATTGGCGGCGCGGCGGCGGCAAGGGCTACCGCCAGCAGTACCAGCAGTGGACACACGACGATGATGGCGCCGGTGGGAATCGTGGGGGCAATAGACGGGGCCCACCGGCGGCAACAAGCGCAAGGACGACCGCCGCTAGGGACAGCGCGGGGCCTCGTCAGACGACGAGGTACCCGACCCTTCGGCCAAGCGAGTTCGACTCCGACAGCGCGCCCCCGACGGCAGGGACATCATCCTCCTTTCCTTCTTCGACGGGATCGGCGCGGCGCCCTACATCCTGGACCGGCGCTTCGGGAAGTTGAAGGCGGCGTTCGCGTGGGAGATCGACGGCGCTTGCCGCAGGGTGGTCGAGGAGCGCCTGCCCTGGCTCCGGCAGCGGGGGGGACTTGACCAAAGACTCGGCGGACGACATCGCCGGCATCGTCGAGCAGGTCGACCCCGACGGCGCGGCGATCATCATCATCACTATGGCGCCGCCCTGCCAGGACTTCAGCCTGATCCGGTCCGACGGTCCTGGGCACAAAGGTAAGAACGGCGGCCTCTTCCTAAAGGCGAACGGCTTTGTCGACGACATCAAGCGGCGCCTGCCACGGCGGAAGTTCGGCACTCTCGCCGAAAACACCACCATGCGGAAAGAGGACGCGTAGATCATTTCCGACGAGCTCGACTGTCAGTCGGTGCTGGTATGTGCGAGCGACTTTGGGTGGATATCCCGGCCACGTCTATTCTGGATGTCCATCGACTGGTCCGACGTCCGGCAGGACCCGGCGACGGGCGCCCACCTGGTTTGGTCAGTCCAGAACGGCTGGGACCGCCTGCGGCTTGATGCGCACGGCTGTCGACTGACGACTTCGACCTGGCCGGCCTCAAGTTCCACCCTTCGGTCTTCTCCGGCAGGCGGTGCATACCAGACGAGAACGGCAGACCGGCGCCTCGCAACCAGCGGGGCTCCATTCCGCCCGACGCCAAGGACAGTTCGCCCCTTGGCACTATGTCAGGGAGGCGCTCATGGAGGACTGGTGGTGCCTCCCCCGACGTCAAAGAGCGCCCGCGCCGGAACACGGCGTGGGCCCAATCATATTTTGGCAGCTTGCGGCCGACGTGGTCCGGTTCTAGAGCCAGCGTGGGAATTTTTGCTCGTCGTCCGGGGCCAACTCCGCCACGACATCCTCAGGATCCGGCGGGAGGTGCGGCAGGAAATCCAGCTCATCGAGGAGGGCGAGGAAGACCTCGACGAGTGGCTTAAGCACCGACCGGCGGCGGTGAGGCAGACCTTCGGCGCCCCCGACAAAGGACCGGCCCACGCAGGTCCCTAAGCTTCCGAGAAGCCTTGTT